GCCGGGCCTGCGCTCCGGGCCTGTTCAGGATCCCGCTGCCTGGGTCGTCTCACTCACTCACTGGGCCTGCGCTCTGGGTCTTTTCAGGATCCCGCTGCCTGGGTCGTCTCACTCACTCGCCGGGCCTGCGCTCTGGGTCTGTTCAGGATCCCGCGGCCTCTGTCCTCTCACTCACTGGCCGGGCCTGCGCTCTAGGCTATTTTTTAAACCATGACAAATCTTCCCCAATCTTGGTTTATCATCTAAAATATTCAAACCCCAGCTTATAACAACAAAATTATAAAATTTCCAATACATTTGAAGAAAAAACAGAAAACACTATACAACTTTAAGAGCTGGAAGAGCCTGGAAATATTTAACTTCAAACATTTAAGGACTATGAAGTTTTACTTTAATGGAAAATATGCCTTTCAGGTTAACAAATAATTGAGGTTTGACAAATTTAGATCCTTCTGTCTGACGACTAAGAGGAAGGAAGCCTAAAAAGTAGTATAGACCAGTAAGCCCCCCTCCCCCAGTATGTACATACACAAAATGAGTTTCTAGGAAGTAAGAATGTTGAATTTGGGTATCAAGAACCAAGTGATACTGGGATTACTATATAAATAGCTTTTTTTAAAAAAATTCTTAAACATGCAATGCTTAGACTACTCTAATGATTTCTGACATGATCAGCTGGGCATCTTTCATTTGGAACCTGATGGATTACACAACTATTTTTCCAAATCCAATGGAGGCTGGAGAGTAGAATATAGTTCTATACAAGCAAAATAACACCCCGTGCAAAAGCTGACCAGATTTCCTTACAATTGTATCCCATAACTTATAGAACTTCAAATGTCTTACAGATGAGTCCACTTCTTAAAAGGGGAGTAGCCAAGCATGGTGACACATGCCTGTAATCCCAGCACTGGGAAAGCAGAGGCAACAGGATCACGGCAAGTTTGAGACCAGCCTGGGATACAAAGTGAGCTCAAGGTCAGCCTGAGTTGCACAATGAGAAAGAAAGAAAATAATAAAATAAAAAGGGAGAACAGTACCATCTGCTTGTATACATGTTTACTCCAAGACAGGGACAAGCCTGTATATCTCATACAAGGTCCTTGTGGCAGGAACTGTGGGAGTTGAATGGTTTCTCAAGTTACAAGCAGGAGGGCCATGTTTTATGTACAGGGATTGGGCAGTGGCAGTGTGAAGTCAGCAAATCAAGGAAGTGAACAAGATTTGGGGCTGAGACTAAACCAGGGCTGTGGATGTTGTGGAGCAGCCATACTTACCTTAAATCCTACTATCAACCATGGCAACTTTTCTTTCTAACCCTAAATAATGATACCAATAATATTTATTGAGCTATTTTAAAATGTCCTAAATATCTTATGCACATCAACTAATTATATTCATGACACATGTAGAATATATAAGTAACAGTTAAACCATTTAATGTTCCATCTCATTTTACAAATGAGGAGACTGAAGCACAGAGAAATTTAGTAATTAGCTTAAATGTATATATAACTTTTAGGTAGCACTGTTGGCTCAGAGCCACTATTCTTGGTCTGAATTATACCTATGCAGGCTGTTATAGAAAGGTGTTGACTTAAACTTGTGGTCACACTGACTGCTAATTGGGAACTACAGTGCTGATGCAAAGTGAGGATTAAAGACAGAGGTCAGAGGAAGAGTCATGAAGACTTGGTGTGTTGCTTACTTTTCTCTCATTGCTGGGACAAAATACCTGATGCCCCAAATTAAGGAAGAAATGATTTATTTAGCTCACAGTTTACGGAGGTTTTGGTCCATAATCAGTTGGCTCCAAGGCAGAGGGACACATGACAGAAAGCAACAGCTCATAGCAGTAGAAAGACAGCAAAAGCAGCAAGAGCAAAAAGGGAGGAGAGTAAGAGAACAATTCTTTTCCTTCTTTTATTGTATGCCAGTGACCGGCCCCAGGTGGGTGTAGCACTAACACCCCTAATCCTAGCACTGGACCATGAATAAATCATACATTCTAGAAGCCTGCCCAATGACTATATGAGGCTTTGAGGGTACACCTAGACACAAACCATAACACTTGGCTTTGCTTCTGATACATGAAATAAGCTGAAAATGCTTACTAAGTGAGAGAACCAGCCACTTAGGTGAGCTTAACATCATAATGGAGGATTTCTCCCTTGAGCTGGTTTCAAGGAGAGAAATAAGATAATCTGAGCCGAAGTGATTCTGAAGATCTCAAATCATGGCAGACCAGTGTAAAAAGTCCTGGGGACATCTCTGTAAGGTAGCACAGCATTTGAAATCCTCATTCTTTTTTGGCATTTGGATAAATTAGCCACAAAAGGAGTCAGCTCACAATATTCACTGAGTACTTTTTTCATGAAGTACCCCCTTTTAGTCCCTAGTTGTGAATGTATAATAATTGCTGTCTTGATTTAATGTTTGCTAGGCTGAGGTCTCAAGAAGACAGGTGGTTCTGTAAATTGGAGATACTATCAACTAATGAAGAAAGCAACTGGCAGAGGGACAAAATCACCACTATCGAATTCCATCACAGAGTTTTAGAATGATTAGATTTGTAGTATTAAGGAAGTCATTCAGGTACAACTGTGGTTTCAGGCTCCTAGGACTCCTAAACCGTAATAGTGAAGTGGAGCCTCTCCCTGTGAAGCCATATGACTGTGGCCATGGCTATTTCTCTATAACTTCTGTATATCCAGGCAGGAAAGTGAACATTCATGCACACAAGGGCCAGAAATCTGTGGGCACAAACTCAACCTTTACAAATGGGTCTTATTTTGTTTTTATTTATTTATTTATTTATTTATTTTTGCTCCGAATGCCTTGAGGGCAGGTTTGGCTGGCTTGAGTTGTGGGGCTCTAACTGCAGCAACCTGAGCCTGACTGCTCTGTTGAAGCAGCCACTTAAAGAACTGAGCTAAGGGGCAGGCCCCCTATTTCATTTTTAAAGATGCTTTCTTTTTTTTTTTAAATGAATTTAGGACAGGGTCTACACCCATTACATAGATCAGACTCGTAGTGATTCTATTTTCAGCCTCCCAAGCACTGGGATTACAGGTGTGCGTCACCATGCCCAGTCTCAATCGCCATCTCAGTGTGCCTCAGGGGCAGGGTTGTCACGGCATGCCACGGATTGAACCCTGGCTGCTGTGCTCTGACAAAGCAGGTGCTTTAGTCGGCTAAGCTATCTGGCTGGCCCTCTTACTTCAGTTTTAATGGGAATTACACACCAAAATCTGTTTCAAATTCTTTATCAGCCATTTTTTGTCATTCTCAATTGCTTTCCTCTAGTGTTTCCCCTCCTCAACACCACCACCACCTACATCCCTTTTATTGCTAGTGTATACATTTTTTAAAAGTAAAAAATGAAAGCAAAATTTCCTAGTGTCCATAAAATGCTAATTAGGTAATAGTTTAAATAGTTTCCATTAAGAGGCTAAAAGGATATTTTATTCAAAATGTACTTTGTGAATCTATTTTTCTTTCACTTCAATAGGTGTCTACCTTAAATCAATTTCAAACTCTTTAGGTCACATCAGCTTTTCTACTTGATGGTCTTCAGAGGTCAGTAAAAAGTAGACATAACTTCCACAAAAACAGAATTTTAGTAGGGTGAAATGGATGCTTACTATTTAGCAAGTCAATAAGAAATATGTTTTGGCTTCTTATTATACACTTAAAAATGCAGTGTTTGCTTAAAAAAACAAAGATGTAGATAGGGTTAAACATTAAAATCTAGTAATTCTTTTTTTTTTTTTTTGGTGGAACCAGGGATTGTACTCAGGCCCTTGCGCTTGCCAGGGAAGTGCTTAGTCCACTGAGCCATCTCC